GGATCTCGTTGATATTACATGTCTTACAAAGTTTTCTTTCTATTTTAATTCTTTTATTATATTATTCCTCTGTTCAGCACTTTGGCCGACACTTGATGTCTTTTAAATGTGCTATATAAATAAAGCTGACTTGACTTGACTTGACTTGACACCAACAATCAGTGATCAAATTACACAAAGCAGCCACAGCATTAAAAATAGGACTGGTGAAAATATCTGTTTCTTGCTGGAACACTCTGGGTGTGCACGGTCTGCAACCTAAACATTGCAGCAAACCACGTATACCTTTCATGGCAGTGGCCTCTCCGAGCAGGACATCAGCACGCTGTGAAAATTGCTCAGGAACAGCACAAGCAATACAACAAACCTGCTCTCCAAACTCCAGAGGACCTGGTGGAACATCTGTGGGATCTGCCAGAACAAGCCTGCACTATGCAACCTACATAAGCTTCTTAATTTTTGGCTGGTCAGAGCCGCTATAGCGGCATCATCTACAATCATAAACAATGACCAGTGGACACACAGGAAGTCTCTGCGTCGATATTCACCGGCTTCACCAGAAGCCCCGAAAAACTACCCACTGGCCCTGCAAACCTCATCCTCTAACAAACCAATCTGTCTCCAGGCTGTATTAGACCCACAGGTAGAAGGTGAAATCCAAGATGTTCCGAATTACACATCATTCAAGTCAGACTGGACCTTTGATGATATCTGATGTTTAAACCTTTTCATCATTATCACATGAATTATGACCAGAAAAGTGCGATCAACCCTCATCCAACTGAACATTTGTGCAAAATGGTTTTGTTTTTTGTTTTTATTTCCAAAGTCACGCTGACCTGACGTGACCAGTAGCTTGTGGTGGCTAATGGTAGCTGACTTCTTCCTGCTGTCTTATTAATCTACTTCTTAGTAATCACAGTATCCTGAAATTCATCCTCAGTGCTGCAGCTCACACGTAAAACATCATCTCTAGTGAGACAGTGTATGAGAGTTCCAGCGTAGTCTAATATCTGAAGATGAAGTCACCTTCACATGAATAGATCAAACGCACCTTTGACCAGGTCGGACAGGTTGTTCTGCTCCACGTTTTTGGTAGCATAGTCAAAGCAGATGTCGTCCACCTCTGTGGCGAGGAAGTACCAGCCATTCATTGTGGCTCCCAGTAAGGGGTAGATACAGGACGCCCCAGTGCCTGATGAAACACACACACACACACACACACACGTTACTGGCAGCCTGACAGTGATGTATGCGTTCACAATGATGACTGATCATAGCTGTCACTGAACAATATGAAAATGTGCCGCAGTGTTTTTGTTGTCTTGAAGGAAGGAGGTCCCAAAGTGTGACATGATGCGTTTCCAAAGAATTATCTTAGACTTGGTGAACATAATGGTCAATAAATGTCAAATCCAGCAGCTATTATTAAATTATTCCCATCTAACAAGGACCAAAGCCACATAATTCAGTTGAGATGGCCTCGGTTAGAAAAGGAAACACCCAGTGGTGATCCATCAGCAGCAGACAGCTTCAGTGGGCGCACATAAAGGTTCGGGGTCACCAATCAGTGACCTGAGGAACTACAGAGGAGCAGCACACCTGCAGGAAAACACATTTAAAGTCAGGCCTTGTTTTCTCTGAGCGACAGAATGAAAAACAAGTAGTGACGTGTGACTGGGGATCAGGCTGGCGAGTGCTGGGAAAACTGGGAATGACTGGGCTCATCTGCTGGAAGTGCCAACTGACATTTCAGGTGCTGTGCCGAGCGGCGAGCCACATCAAGAAAAAACCAGAGCAGCGGCATTAACATTTAAATCCCCCCCGTCTGTGGTTATTAATGTTTAAAGATGCACCAAACCCCAGCACCACAGCATTTAAAGGAAAAGCACGTTCATTTTACACAGATGTACAGGTACTGGTGAGAACTGAAACGCATATGCATTAGAGTGAAGTCTGACACACTGGGTCCGTGCAGATGACCTTATATTTTGAGTCTGACAGTGAGTGATGGAAGTGCAAATGACCATGTTTGAACTTAGTTAAGTAAGTGACTAAGTAAGCCTGATTTCTCGTCTTATAAACCAATCAAAGCAGTTTAACTAGACTATCACATCACACGTGCGCTGAAGGCGACTGAAACTGGTGGCCGTACCGATGTCGATGCCCCTGCGCGGCTGCTTCTGGCCGTCAATGAGGTCCTCCACCCAGTGGATGTAGTTGAGGCGCAGGGGGACGGTGGGTATGAGTCGCTCCAGCGGGATCTCGATGGCCAAACCAAAGTCCTCCTTTAACAGGGTGCAGGTCAGCGCTCGCACCGCCTCCGGCTCTTTGAAATTCACTCTGAAGAAAATCAGAAATGCGACTAAATGAGTAAAAAGTTTCAAACTCAGAGCAGCTGTGGGAATCGGACTTTATCTAACGTACGTCATCTGTTGCTAGGTGGTGAAATCTGCATCTGTCTACATCGAGAACACACAAAACGAGCAAGAGACAGATGTTTTAGACACCAGTTAAGTCATGAGTGTGAATAACTGCGAGTCCTGCTGATCACAGCTGAACAACGAGGGTGAAGTCTGATGCGTGGAAGTGTGACTTTGAACGCGGGTGTGCAGCTCATCAGAAAACTCCTTATTTCAATGAAAATTTTAAAAAGTTCCAACTAGGTCTGAGTGATATATCGTAGTAAGGTCTAAAGGCTTCTTTCTACAGTAGCAGGCGCTGAAAAAACTCTTCTCACTCTCCACCTGAGCTCACGGTTTACAGAGTCGTGGATTAAAGAAAACATCAAAGTAAAACATTTGCATTGAGGATTTTTTTCCTTTTATAGTTGAGTTATTTGATGAATGGTTTTCGTCCTAGCGTTACATCCTGTCTACAAAAGCTGTTTCTATTCACCGTTCAGACCTTCTGTTTGCTAGAAGTACCCAACTAGAAAAAAGCCAAAACGACTTGTTTCAATCAGAGAGGGGATGAGAAGAGCCGTACTGATGCTCCGTATCAGATGAAAGATTATTCTAAACTTGAATCACGCATGGCTAGTGGAAATTAGCTTAACAGGTCCACCTTTCTGCTCTTCACCTTCATTTAATCCTGAATAAAAGTGGTTAACTGCTCCTCACCGCCCTCTCCTCAGCATTTGGTGAGTACAGCACTTCCAGTGAGTACCAGCGGGAATGGTGACCGAAAATAAAGCCAAGCCTGAAAGAAACTACAATTTTCCTTTAAGGATCATTTCAATTTAGCTTCTTGCTGATCCTCTCATTTCACCATGTGGCCCATCTGACAGCAATTTACCAAACTGCTCTTAATACAGCACTTCATTAACCTTCAGCTGCTCCGGCCTCCTGCAGCTCACTGCACTGAACCGCATTACTTCACGTTATACACACGCTCGCGCACGAGAAACAAAAGGGAGATAAGCAGCCCATCAACTCACAATCCCCTGCTGATGACAATGAGTTTCACATTTTCAACACAACTCAGACCTCCCACTTTTTATTCCCAGTTCTCGGTCCCAGTCGTTCAGCTCGCCCGTCTTCTCCTTCTCGCCGTGTTTAATGATTTCAGCTGTCACACAGGCACGCAGACAAAACGAGTGGGCGAGAGAGGTGTAATTAAAGCTTTGCAGAGTTCTTTCGCACCTCGGCAGATGCAATTAGACGCATCCTCGCGATGCGAGCGTCTGGCACCTCGCAGTGTCGGTGTGAGCATATTCCTGCAGAAAAAAAGCATCGAGTGATGGTGGAAACGCCTCTGCGGCTTCAAAAGCAGGCAGCCGCTGATTGTGTTTTCATTGTCGCCGTTTTCAGGATTCGGTTACACAAAAACTACTGAAATGTTTTGCATTTCAGTTTTCATGTCCTCACATTAAATAAAGAGTCCATCCCAGCCTGGGTTTTTCACAGGTCAGAGGTCAGGGGTATGACCAGAAAACCTCCGTGTTTAAGTGTGAGTGAAAATCCTGCAAGGTCCTGTGAGTTCTCTGAATGTGCACCGTTTAGTCATCACTAAAGGATTCATTTTAGACTTAAAATACCAGGAGTATGACAGATTTGACAAACCATCATCTTCAGAAAGAGGTACACAGCAGACCTGGACCAAGTCAGGATGGATGCATAAAAAGTCTGTGACTCTGACTTGGACCAAGTGTGGGAGGTCCAGTAGCTCCAACACTGAAGCTAAATTAACACACATGCACCACGACTAAAACTACATGCTCTGGCTGTGTGCAACTCTTTTATTCCAACTAACTGAACTGACCAACAGAGATGAGAGCAACATAATGTGGCAGTATGGAAGTCTTTGACTCCACTGTGTGTGGAGGACAAAATAATAACACCATCTATGTTCACTGTGAACCTTTGAACCTTCATTTCACTTCACATTTCTGTCACTGGCTACATAATCTCCTTTGAAAATGACAAGAAGTGGAGAAGAGTTCTGTTTTCCAGTAGGTAGTATTAACTGGACTTGTGCCTCTTTTCCACTACTACCATCTCGGCTCAACTTCAAAGTCCGAGTCAAGCTGAGTGGTGTGGGTACCAGTGGAAAAGAAGCAACAGGAGAGCAAGAGCCAATGAGGCAAGAGTCCCAACTTTTGAACTTTATCGTATATTTACTGCTGGTTTAGTGACTGTTATATACAGTGTATATTATTGTATAACTTGTACAGCACTTTGGTCAACTGTGGTCATTTATAGAACCTTTGACTCGACACCATCAAAGGTGGCAAAATAGGAAGGTGACAAGTCAAAAAAAAGAGCGAACCTCGGACAGGCCTTTATTCGATATGCAGTTCGACAGGAGTGCGGTCAAATAGGAGCCTTCCTGAGTAAAATTAACCTAACTGAGGGAAGTGACCAAACTATAAGAGCCTAAAAAGCTCTTCACGGGGGCTAAACACTAAGGAAAAGTCCTTCAGTTCATCCTTTATTAGCTCCATTAGCAGAGAACACACAAAACTATCAAAGAGGTGAAGATGCATTTATCATTTCATAGTTTTTAATTTTCACTAACAACTTGTTAACCCACAGCTGAACTATGAACATCACACTGCTCTACTAAAATCAGCTTCTTTTAGGTGCTTCTTTTCCTCCTCGTTTCCTGTCGTTTCTTTGCTGTCAGGGGTCTAATAAAAACAGAAAATGCCACTAAAATATTTCTAAATGCTTATGCTTATTTCACTTCTCACAGAACTCTGCATCTTCATTCAAGTGGCAGCAAAGACAAAAGACCCCCGATGAGGCGCAATGCACCCACACAGCCCCACATCAATCTTAGTCATTGTCTCTACACCTAATGAACACACAAGGTTAATGGTCCAGTTGTGAACAGCTGTTGACCTCTCACAGAAAGCCAACAGCTGCTTCTTCTGAGCTGCAACACAACTGCAGATGACCAACCAGTGAAGAAATCTGCACTTTAAAAACAGCCCCGGCTAATGAGGGTGAAGTGATAAATCAGCATAACGCTCGCACGTTCCCAAAATGAAAGCCGGCTTCTCTCGTCTGTCCAGCGCACAGAGATTCTGCCCCCTTTTCATTTCTCCTCTGAGGCATCATTAGATAAGGATCAATATTCAGAGAGGGAGCCAGCCCTCTATTTTTAGCTCTTTATATGTGTGTGTGCAATGCAGACCGATCACTCCCATCAGCAGCACTGCAAATGCCACATCTCCATGGCAACCCCACCTACTGAACAGATGAGGAGAGCACGCAAATCCGGCCACGCTGGAGCAATGGCTGATGCCAGAAGCAGCGTGAGCGTGCCCGCGATTTACAGGTTCACCGTTGCGTGCCTACGCCGTTAACGTGGTCGACGGGATGCGACGTGGGACAAATCTGAGCGTAGAAGTGACGAGAAGAGTAGACTACATATAAAAACAGCACCGGGAGGACCGATGAGGAGTCTAGTCGTGTTTTGGTTGCATTTGACTTAACCGAGGCGGAGAGGAGGTGGAGAAAGAAAGACAATTTAAGTGCTGAAGGGCGGTAAAGTTCTTGGCTCAGGTCAAAATGTGGAGGTGAGAAGGCGTTTAGTGCTGAGACAGACAGCAAGCTCCATGATCAGCAATAAAGCACACACACACACACACACACACGACCTTCACGGTGCTTCAATCTGAGTGCACTGGGACATATTTTGTGCTGAACAGCAGCAACTTCTCTCACGTCATGAGTTTTAGGGGTTTTTTCGAGTCCTCACAAGAGCAGCAATAAGAGCGTCACAAGAAGCTCACCGTGAATTTAAAGATAACCTGCTTATGAATTTCTCTGAGCGCGTTTTGTTTCATTTTGCAATTCTGCAGATAGTCTGATATGAAACAATGCATGTAACACTTGTGTTTAGCAGAGAACATCTAGAGAAAGGTGAGTGGAAGGAAGGAGGGAAGGAAGGAGTTTAGGTGCCTTTGTCTCTCAAGATCAAAAGTGGAAAAAAATTAAAGCAACTCAATATATCAGACAAGCCTAACACGCCGTCATTAGAGTTACATACAGTTCTGTAGAGACTGTATGTGAAAGATGGATGTACTCCATAAGCCCCCAACCACTGGTTGGGGGCCTGAAGATGTGCTGTGGTATCCAGCACCAAGATATCAGCAACAGATCCTTTAAATTCTCTAGGTTCCACGGTGGGGCTTCCATGGATCATATTTTCTGGTCCAGCGCATCCCACAGATGCTTAACTGGATCTGGAATTTGGAGGCCAAGTCAACACCTCCCCTCATTTTTGTTTTAGTGGCAGAATGCATTAGCCTGTTGAAAGAGGCCACAGCTATCAGAGAGTACCGTTTCCATGAAAAGGTGTACATGGTCTGCAACAATGCTTAGATAGGTGGTGCATGTCAACATAACATCCACATGGATGGCAGGACCAAATGTTTCCCAGCAGAACATTGCCCAAATGATCACCCTGCCTCTGCCGGCTCGCCTTCTTTCCATAGTGCATCCGGATACTAGGTGTTCTCTGCAGCCACGCAGCCCCATATGCAACGAACTGTGAGGTCTCTGTGTTCTGACACCTTTCTATCAGGACGAGCATCAACTTTTTTGGCAATTTGAGCTACAGCAGCTCGTCTGTTGGATCGGACTTTGCTCCCCAGTTGCATCGCTGAGCCTTGGCCACTCATGGCACTATCACTGGTTCACCATTGTTCCTTCCTTGAGCCACTTTTTATAGATACTGCAGACCGGGAATACTCAACAACAGCTGCAGCTTGGGCTCTGACATATCCCCAAGCCACAATTTGGCTCTTGTCAAACATGCTCAAATCTTTACGCTTGTCCATTTTTCCTTCTTCTAACATTCACTTTGAGGATGAAATGTTGATGTGCTCCTTA